ATATATATTCATGAATAGCTATAATCTCGTCGACTCCCGACAGGAAGGCATCGAAAGGGCTCGCAATTCAAACTATGCCTTCATTCAGGTATTCATTTCACTATTTGCTATATTTGTTACGTAAAATGTCAATTGTTTTGACATTTTTGCCATTTTATTTGTTAATCAAATATATTTATTGAAATGTATATATGATTGAGAGTTAGAGCAAGTATTCATTTCAATGAAAGCGTGTATTTAATTAATTTTGTGACTCAATTCAATTAACGAATGAAATATACAATTCTGTGATTTGTTTGTCACTCAGGAAATCAATTGTTTCCTCCAATTAGTTCTTGTATTCAATTTATAAAAATCAGTTTTATTTTTGAATGTATTGTTCAGAATGTATTGCAAATAATTGAATAAAACATAGTTGTGTTGATACAACAAATATATAGTAATATCAAGAATATTAACAAAAAGCTATATCAGTCACAGAATATATTTATCATAATTGGTCGCTAAACAAAATGGCATAAGAATATTACTTCAAACAGTCTATTTGTTAGCAATTCACGTATGTTTAATGGATTATGAAAAAGTTATCACTAATTATGATTGAATTCAAACGTAATGTTTAGTGTTTAATGTGTAAACGTAAATGAAATGACAATAAAAACTAATAAACTGTATGTGAAATGACAGGAATCGGTGGCCAATGAGTACGCGATGGACCAGTACTGCGAGTTGACGGCCATCGACGACAAGAAGGAGAACTATCACAGGGAATACGCTTTGGGACTACAGAAAGGGTCGGCCCATAAGGCAGACATCGATAGAGCCATAAAACAGCTCAAAAATGACGGCACTCTCGACAAACTGAAGAGGAAGTACTGGCGAAGGGGTTGTCTGAGCGGATCAGTTATGGTTAAGTTAGATGCCATCACTTCGTTCAGTCTGATCGCGTCGGCCCTCATATCGTATATACTATTCAATTGAAATATTCTGATATTTTTATTTAATTTTCGTTTATTTAGTCTTATTATAGACTTTGTGTTCAGAAATTGGTTTTCCTGATTGATATTAATTTGTTTTATAAATTTAAATATTTTTTAAATTTCTTAAATGTTTACATAATGTAAACTAAATATTATGAATCGATTTGCTTCTAATTTGTTTAATTTTATTAGATTTTAAATTTTATTTTTTATATAACATATTATAAATATGAATAGTATAACAAATTACCCTTTAGTCTAGTTTTGCCCAAAATGTCTTTTGATGTGAAATTTTTACATGTATTATCATTATTGATGTGAAAGTCTAAACAAATTTTTTGTTTTTATGAAAAACAACTTATTTCTGACAACAATTATTTCATTCAATTACTGTCCGATTATTATTTATAAACTGATAGCATATTTGCCGTTAACTCTAAACATTTATATATAAATTTAAATATAAATTATACAAATCACACCAACTTTTAGATCTTCTCCTGTTATTTATCTTTTTAATTATATTATGAAATATTGTATTTATAATTTAGAGAAACACAGTATTATTTGACAGCAAATGTCATGACATGTGAACAAAATGATGAGTGAAATATATAACGATAGGAAACTTAAAAACCAAAACATTTGCCAATCATTTGATTTGACACTAAAACCGAGTGTCAGTCGGAATTCATGTGACTTTTCAATAGTACCTGAAATTATAAATAAGACGCTTATAATTCTCATACCATTACCTAATGATAATGAATATGACAATACAATTACAGTACAACTTTACAAACAATTAGCATTGAGACAATTTATCTAATTATATTGTCTAAACAGTAAATATTAGAGCAAACAATTTATATGAGAAATTATATTGCTATGAATATTGCATTTTATTTTGAAACAATGTTTTATTGTAATTAATGTAATATTAATTTCTATTGCATTGCCATACGTTTAAATATTTAAACTGTACTTATCTCTCAATCATTCATAAATAGGATTAACTTTGAAATTATATCACAAAAACTTATTCAAAATCTTTGCTTTGACTTTTGTTATAAATGTATTAAATTTTCATTCAATCAATCATTTCATAACAAGTGGTATCTTTGAATAGTATGGAAAGGGGAACTTATTTTACCAAAAAATTGCAATAGACTTTATATTCAACTTATATTATTATGTTTTTGCTCTAAAATTCACTATAAATATTAAAATCTGATAAATTGAAAAATCAATCGATAAGCTCTAAACACTTTACTTTTCAATATACTTTAAAATCTAATGTTAAATATAACATAAACTCAAATACATAATTATTGGAAATGAATTGAGAAAGTTGACATGTTTAGGTATCGACAAATTGGCAGAGATCATTGAAGTCCAAACATATGTATAATACATGTATATCAACAAAATCTATGAGTTAGTTATCATAAGCTCAATGTTTTTCAACACATTTTGCATAAATATACTA